GCAATTGGTGCAGGCTTGGTGTGCTTCTGCACTACAACGAAATCCCTAAAAAGCCAATTTTTTTCTGATATGCTCAATAAAATCTAACAAGGCCCAATCTGTGTAAATGGTCAAATTTGCAGAAGAGTCTCTATGCCAAAAAATTTAAAGTGCAATATACATCAAATTTTTTAAAGGTCCCCAGAAGATTCAAAAGGTTCCGAAGGTCCCAAAAGTGCTGAAGGTCTAAAAGGTGCTGAATGTCCAAAAGGTCCCAAAGGCCCCAAAGGTAACTTGTACATGAAATGCTCCAGGAACACAAAAAGTTCCAAAGGTCTCATCTACTGACAACCTTTTGCATCTTTTATCCCAAAGGTCCCAAAGGTCTCAAAGGTCCCAAAGGTCCCAAAGGTCCCAAAGGCCCCAAAGGCCCCAAAGGCCCCAAAGGTCCCAAAGGTCATTTGTACATGAAATGCTCCAGGAACACAAAAAGGTTCTCAAGGTCTCATCTACTGACAACCTTTTGCATCTTTTATCCCAAAGGTCCCAAAGGTCTCAAAGGTCCCAAAGGCCCCAAAGGCCCCAAAGGTCTCAAAGGTCCCAAAGGTCCCAAAGGTCCCAAAGGCCCCAAAGGCCCCAAAGGCCCCAAAGGTCTCAAAGGTCCCAAAGGCCCCAAAGGCCCCAAAGGCCCCAAAGGCCCCAAAGGTCCCAAAGGTCCCAAAGGTCCCAAAGGTCATTTGTACATGAAATGCTCCAGGAACACAAAAAGGTTCTCAAGGTCTCATCTACTGACAACCTTTTGCATCTTTTATCCCAAAGGTCCCAAAGGTCTCAAAGGTCCCAAAGGCCCCAAAGGCCCCAAAGGTCTCAAAGGTCCCAAAGGTCCCAAAGGTCCCAAAGGCCCCAAAGGCCCCAAAGGCCCCAAAGGTCTCAAAGGTCCCAAAGGCCCCAAAGGCCCCAAAGGCCCCAAAGGCCCCAAAGGTCCCAAAGGTCCCAAAGGTCCCAAAGGTCATTTGTACATGAAATGCTCCAGGAACACAAAAAGGTTCTCAAGGTCTCATCTACTGACAACCTTTTGCATCTTTTATCCCAAAGGTCCCAAAGGTCTCAAAGGTCCAAAAGGTCCCAATGGTCCCAAAGGTCCTAAAGGCCCCAAAGGTCCCAAAGTTCATTTGTACATGAAATGCTCAAGGAACGCAAAAAGTTCCAAATGTCTTATCTACTGACAAGCTTTTGCAATTTTTATATCGGCAACACTTTGAATTTGTAGGACATTACAGGCTGTCAAACGACGTTGCGATGGAACACCAATATGCAGATTACATGCGGTCAACAGCGTGTTTGGGGATCCCTGCTTTGGAACATACAAGTACTTGCAAGTTACCTACCAATGCCGACGTCGTTATGCATGTAAGAAAAATCTTATTATTTCGATCTTTATGCAACTTCCTGATTGCTAAGTCTGGTTTCCACTAAATCATATAACGATGGTAAGGAATAAGGGACAGCATGCCACCGACGCATGTCTGAAACTCCAGATTTCCAATTCAATATGAGTATGTAAACCGTGACATTTGGCGACTGGCAGTACTATAATCTCTTTCAGCTCTGAAGTATTGACCATTCCAGCAGACTAATCATCTGATTGGTTGATCGAGCCCACGTGATTATAACAAAATTAAATAGTTTCTTCGTAATTGCCGATCGTCGCAATATGTGTTTCCATATTATCGGAACAGTATTGGCGATCGGGAAAGTTGTTCTCAGTTCAACAGCCTTAGCAGCAAGAATGATGACGAAGTGCTTCTACTATTTCAAATTTTTAAAGCCAAACACATCCTTTCCCCTTATAATTTTTCAAGCTATATTATTTACAAAGGCTTTCTTTTTGTCCTAAGCTTCCTAGCTCGATTAAACAGACCTACCAGCCCCCCTCCCCCTATCCCTTGCTCACTCACCTTTATTGTATCATAAAATTGTCTTTGATCTCAGGCATTATTTCATTCTCATTAAATTTCAGCAAAACGGTCGATTGTGTGTGAGGGCCAGACAGCCAGTCTGAATTGTCCTATTGGATACAAATTAAAGATACGAAGCGCCCGTTATGGACGGACTAACAGAAGTTCTTGCCGTAACTCTGCTATGAGAAACATCCACTGCGTTGCTCGAAGGTTCGTCACAGTATTGTTTACCAGCAGAAGCAGAACTGACACAAATTCAATAATGTACTCATTGCATCAGATAGACCCAGCACCCGTCCTCAATTGCGATTGCCACCGATAAGTAATCTTGCTCATGCTCGTTAGTTGCATCGACGGGGGATTATACAACTGAAGGCTTTTATTATGTGTTTCTTCAGCTAAAACGGTACAGAGAACAATGGCAGTTATTGAGTCTTTTCCTTGTTGTACTCTTTGAAACACTTGTTTCAGTGGCATTTTCTCTTCTGAATATTAGTCAGTTTTCCCGAGTCAAATCACGACGAGTTAATTGGGGATCACTTGCCACTATCCCATGTTTTGCTTATTAGTTTATTTATAGCCAAAGGCAGGATCTTGCAGATGGGGGTAGTGTGGTCTATATGAAGGTTCTTGACGCCTTGCTCTGCCCTTCTTGAAAATTTTTAAAAAATATTGAGAAAAAGTATGATAAATTTACTTTTCCAGGAAAACCAGCATACGCTTTTTCTTTTCAAGTTTAGATATACGAAAGACACTTAATCTTTTCCATTTCCAATGATGCACGGTTTCGCTTTTTACAAATTATAGATGAATTGGTTTTAGTAAACAATTGTCTCCTGCCCATCTTAAAAAGACCTCTTATTACATATTTCAATGATTTCTAGGTCTCTACAAATCGCCCAAAGCAGATGCAATGCAAGAAGATTTTGTCGGCTACCTGCAACCAATGGAGTGTTTGGCGACCCATGTTTTGGAACATACAAGTACTTAGATATAACGCATCAATGTATATGATACAGGCGAGTTAGATTTGATACTGCAATTTGTTAATTTATAATGTGTGTAAGAGTGTAGGATTCCCGCAAAGGTCTGCTCTTTCGCCTCTTGTGTTGCGTTACATTTCATCTCGAATCTTTGGTAATCAAGCATATTTTAATCAAGTATTATTTATGTTAAGACCGGTTAACCAGGATCTTTACGAATTTCTCCATTTGTTGCAATTACTCTGGCTGAATATCAACTCAAAAATTTTGAGAAAATGCTATTTTCACCCTCGCTAGAAGTCTTACTCGATTATTATTGACAAGTAAAACAAATTCTAAAGTATTTCACTGAAAAGTATGTCACTGAATATATTTGGAAATCGTTTCTATCTTCTAATTTGATGATGTTTCTCTTCAATAGGTGGTAGGCCAACCTGTGCTGACCAGAAAAGTTTGATCATCGAAGAACAGAAATCTGTCTTACTAGTTTCCTATTTTTACTCTTAAACGTTGAGTCAAATAGATTGAGATTCAGGCATTAAATCACTTTGTGTTTATTTTTGCAAATTCTCATCATTTACAAATGAACTGAGTTTGTGATTATCTGTAAATCGACCGAGTGCGATGCATCCTTTGGGAACAACGAATCTTTTGGGAGCAAGCAACCTTACCAGTTCTTTGGCCCAGTGGGATTCTTTAACAGCTTTTCTTAGAAATCGATTTCAGCTTTTGCAAACCTAATACTCACGAGATCAGGTTCCCTCCTTCTGGGACAACAGACGATAAATTACTTCTATGTCTCCCGTTCTTTCTTTCTGCTATTATGTTTCGGGGTCATGTTTAATTCATGTCTCGAATCTGTTTTAGACCATGTATAACAGACCAATTACTTTTATACTTTTAATCAGATACCAGCACCATATCAATCAATGTGGCAATTTCTTTAAACTTTTTATTTTGTTAAGAAAAAGAGGAAAATTGGCGGACTGTACGAATATCACATTTGCTGAAGTTTAACTGAAATTGAAACAAAATTAAGGATATTTGTGTCAGTTTGTTTTTGGTAAAAATTTTACGTTTTCATTAGTTGAAGGAAAATGTGATTGTGTAGACTGACTGAAAAAGCTAGTATTTTAGATTTCGAAACAATTTTTAGACCTTTCTAATTAAGAAGCCTCTTGTCTTCTTGAGGGATGTCGTGAATGGGTTTGTTCCCTGGACTGATTTGTACCTTTCTATTGTTCACAGTTCTTTTCCACTAAGTTTCAATACGAGGCGGATTACGGTCGCAGTGTGCACTTTCGTTTCATTGAGACCATTTCACGCCCCCTTTTGCCGAGTGATTTTCGAAAGAAGACGCCCACTTTTGACGTGTGATTTTTGTAAGTATTTTCTAGTTCCGAACTTTGACAAATCCCCAGCCTGCACTAGCGCGACATTTCTGTGTAATAGTTTAAGGGCTTTTACTATTCTTACCTCCGATAGGTCGTTTTCGATTCAACCCTTTAATATCATAGGCTGTAGGTTTTAGTTAGGCCCAAATTGCTGAGAAATCTTTGCATACATACAAATACAAATTCTAATTGTTTGCTAAGGGTTGCAAATCTTATAAGCAAACTGGTTTATGACATCTTAATCTGGTCCTAGCCACATTATCTTTTGAGTTATTACAGAAACTTGATGCAATACTCTCAATTCCAGAAACTCGATTTTTCAGGTGGCTATCTTTCTATCGAACAATGGATGAAATGAGATACGATGGGATTATGCTATATCTCAAAGAGCAAAAATTTTCTGAGGATGCTCTTTCTCTGCAGAGAAAAGATATAAGAAGGGCAAGCAAGAGTTTTTTTACAAGAGGTGTTATTTTTTACAAGATAACTTTTGCAAGTTTTATTTTAATTTTTCTTCAAATTGTTATTCACAAGTAGCTGATTGAAGCATGAATCTAAAATTGTTAGAGGAGCGTGATGCTGATGATCAAATTATCCTGCAAGGGACAGCCTCTAGCAATTCCCTATTGACTTTGCTGTGAAGCATTACTATTCTAATATCATTACTTATCTTTTCAAAAACTTTAAGACTTCAAATGATACATCTTCTATACCAATTAATTAAATCTTCAGTTTTGTACTTTTCTTTAAAAACTATTTTTCATGTCAGAGAATAAATTGTTCTACAAAGCATGCGAGAAAAATATCAGAGGCAATCCTGTTATTCACAAGGAGAGAGAAGTTGTCAGAGGAAGAGTGAAATCAAAAGAAATATTTTTGGCTTTCCATGCTAACTTGATGGGTGGGCACACTGGTCAAACAAAAACTGCAAATGCCATCTCTGAGAGATTCTTTTGGCCAGGAATGTGGGAAGACATTAGGAAATGGGTGTGTCCCTTGTAATTTTAGTTGATGGAAACTTCAATATGTTACATTGACATTTCCATTTAGTTCTACAAGTGTTTCCTAATATTGCCTAATTATGAGTAATCACAGTTCCCTGTGGGTCTTACAAAGCAAAGCATCTATTTCATGAAATGAACATCACTGAGGCTATGAAGTAATAAAAAAACAAATGAAATGAATTTGAAAATGTGGAACAAAATTTCTTTTGAAATCAGGAAGACCAAGCAAAGCTATTAAACAAACATGTCAAGAACTTTTGCCTAGATTTACCTCCAAAACAACTTAGCATTAGGAATTTCCTCAGACAGTAACCTCTATTTTCTCCTAAAAACCATCTCCAATAAACAAACACCATCTAAAAAAACAAAAACTGCTATTGTTTTTCAGCAATTGGCCAATCGATTTGTGATGTTATTCTGTCATCATGTAATCCACATGACATCTATCAAGTGCCATTATTGGGAAAGTCAAATAGATTGGCTGCCAATGTGGGGGCTGGCGTATATCTTGGAAAGAGGCATAAGCTCCCCTTTGCCCCTTTGTCACCACCATTCTTGCAATTAACTTAAAAATACTGCAAAAATACATTAACAGACCATGGATAAATGGAACACTGGGTACAAAAACAGCCTTGGTTCAGCTCATTGTCCCAGGCATCACTCTTCATACATTGATTTTCTTTGTAGACCTAACTTTTTTTATTGTACAGTATATATCTTGATATTCTTAGTATACCTGTAAAATGTGTTGTTGAATTAAGTGAGTTTGAGTTTGATTATGTAATGTTTATTTCAGGTGGGCTGCTGTGAAAAGTGTCAAAAAAATACAGATATTAAGGTGGTAAAGGAAGAGCTTC